AGATGCTATTATTAACCTCATTTTATAATGAGGTTTTTATAATTTTATAATTGAGGAAACTGAAGTGTTCAGGGTAAGTGACTTGCCCAGGGTCACACTGGTAGGAAGCATATGAGGCTGGATTTGAACTCAGGTCTTCTTGACTCCAGGCCCAGCAATCTCTCTATTGCACCACCAGCTGCCTCAGGGGAAAAAAAAACCCCAAACAATCTCATTTGTCCTAATAGCACCTAGGTAGGTGCTATTATTATTACTACCATTTTACAGTTAGGGAAACTGAAGTTAATTGACTTGCCCAAGGTTACAGAGCTAGTAAGTGGCTGAGGCTAGATTTGAACCCAGGTTTATACCTATTCTAAGCCCAGTGCTTTGTCCATTGCACCACTTAACTGCCTATAAGCCAGTTATTATTATCCCCTTTTTCAGATAAGGAAAGTAAGGCAGATTAAGTGACTTGCCCAGGGTCACAAAGCTAGTAAATGTCTAAGGCAGGAATGGAGGTCAGGTCTCCTTGACTCCAGGCCCAGGGCTGCATCCACTGTATCATCTAGCTGCTTAGGATGTCATCAAAGAAATGTATGGTTGAAAAAGCATGAGGTTGGCTGCAGGGGCTTGCTGGTAAATGTTTAACAACCAGCCCTCTGAAGAAAAATTATACCCATGACACACTTTTACATTTAATCTGCATTATTAATATCTTTTCCATCTCTTTCTGAAGTCTAAACCAACATTAACAAACATTTTGTTAAATCAAAAAAAAGTTTAGTTAAAACAAAACAACAAATAAAACCCTCATTTTTAGTGTTTGTTGATTCTCAACATTCACATGCTCACCCTGGGAATTTAACAATTGACACCCATGAGACAATCAGAGCAGGTTCCATCTCACCCTTGAATGGACATATGGTGAGAATGGGGGATAATGGGTTGACAGCTAGAGTGCTCTACTGGCTTCCATCCTAATGGTATCAGGAGAAATCAAGGAAGGTCTTGGCATGTTGGGTGGACCCACTATGGCACATTCATGGGAGCACATGGATGAGAGTCATGTAGGATGGGCAGATGTGGAGGAGTGGTAATCTGTCTACATCACTGGAAGGAACAACTGCAATGATAAGATCTTCGATTCATTTGAATATTTTTGTAGCTGCCAAACCTAGTTGTTGTGAGGGTCTAACAAGATTAGGAATGTAAAACATTTAGTGAACTTTAAAGTTCTTCATAAATGCTCAATATTATTATTAATAAGTGGCCATGGGATGAATGAGGCAAAATCTTTGTTTTCCAGTTATTGACTGAAACCACTGAATGGGAAAATAAGGGCTGCAAGGAATGAAATTTCAAAGAGGACTATGAAGTAGGAAGCGGTGACAAGTCAAGGCTGCCTCACACGCTCAGATGTCTATTTTGAGGGGAAAAAAAAGAAAAGGTTAGAGGGAGCAACTCTTGGAGACTTTGGAGTTAAGGAGATGTTGTTAGCCCTTTGCAGATTGAAGCCCTTCTCTTTGTGTCTTGGCCTCACTTTATTTGGCTCCATTCATGTTCCACTTGTGAGCTCCTCACTCTTCAGGACCCTGGAGAGTGACAGCTGGGGAGCCAGGCTTCTGAAGACTGAGATCAAGACTGTCATTCACCTGCACAGGATGCTATCTTCCCACGGCTTTCTCTGTTCATAATTCCCAAATGATTCTATGATATGAACATGCAAAAGATGCCAATAGAACCTGCATTTGAATCTCAGCTCTACTGCTTGTTGTCTGTGTGGCCTAAGCCGCTGTACGTTGCCTCAGTTTCCCCACCTGTAAAATGAGGGACTTAGACAATTTCATCTCTAACATTCATGCCAACTTTAAATCTTTTTTTTTCCCCAGTGATCCAGTCTCTGAAATCTGAATGTTCTGGTCTCTGACTTGCTTTGATGCCCATATTTATATATACTTTAAGCCTTGCAAAGGGTTTTGTGTATAAGATCTCATTTATTCATTACCAAAACTCTGTGAGGTAGGTGCTATCAATGTCACCATTTTACAGATGAGGAAACTAAGACTCACAACATAGTCACATCTGAGGTGGGATATGACCCCACCCCTGACTACAAAGCCAGCTTTCTATCCACCATTCCATGCTCTCTTTTATCAATATTCATTTATTTTAAACGTCTGCATTGTGGATATTTCACAAGTGGCAGTGGAGAGTTCTGACTGTGCAAGGAAGAACTAAAAGTCATGAGAAGTGAGTTCAAATCCTGGTGCTGCCTGTGGACCTTGGACTAGTCACTTAGCATCCATGGACCTCAGTGTCCTCATCTGTAAAATATGGGATAAAATGATCTCTAAGATTCTAAATCTACAGTTTTGGCTACATGGAAGATAGGTGTGGTAGAAAAAAAGCTTCATATGTCTTAGAAATTTAATTTGGTGCTTGATTATTTCAGAGGGCAGGAGCTGAAAGAGACATGATCAATTGTCATCTAGAAATTAAGGATCCCTCCTTTGCTTGCATATTGGAGGAAAGTCTGCTCTTTGGCCATCACAATAATTGCATTTGAGAAACTTCCTTATGGGTGATTGTAATGATAATGTAAACTTTTAGTTCAGTACAGAGTTTCCATGCCAGGAATCCCCATATTGGTAAAAACCATGGGCTGAAGTAAGAATAAATAAAAGGAATTTAAAAGATAACAATAATGATGATGATAACAAAAATAATAATAGCTAACATTTATATAGCACTTAGTGCCAGACACTATGCTAACTGCTTTACAATTATCTCATTTGATCCTCACAACAGTGGTAGATGCTGTTGTCATGCTCACCTTACAGAAACGTAGGCCTTGGAAATGATTTCCATTAAATTTCCTTTCATTAGAAGCAGGTAAGTGATACAGTCGATAGAATGCCAGGCCTGGAGTCAGGGTGACCAGAGATTCAAATCTGGTCTCAGAAATTTACTAACTGATTGAAACTAGGCAGGTCACTTAAACCTCTGTTTGTCTCAGTTTCCTTATTTGTAAAATGGGCATAACAATAATACTTACCTCTTAGGGTTGTTAGGAGTATCTATTCTTATCATATTTGTAAAGTAGGCTAGGCAGTTAGGTGGCATGGTGGATAGAATGCTGGGCCTGAAGTCAGGAAAACTCATTTTCCTGAGTTCAAATCTGGCCTCACACACTTACTAGCTCTATGACCATTGGCAAGTCACTTAACCTTGTTTGCCTTAGTTTCCTCATCTGTAAAATGAGCTAGAGAAGGAAATGCAAATCACTCCAGTATCTCTGCCAAGACACCCCAAATGGGATCACAAAGAGTCAGACACCACTGAAATGACTGAACACTGGCATGTAGGAAGTGCTATATAAGGCCTAGTTATTATGATCTAGCCAGTGCCCATAGAGACATAAATTTTGGGCATTTTCTGGACCTGGAAGATGCTTATCCTTCCAGGAATCTTTTGTTCTTCCATTTTTGCAGGTCTTATCCTAACTTCTCTCCTCATTGCCAAAGGGACTTGAGTACAAGGTTTCTATAACCTGTAAGCTTACTAAATATAATGGTGGCAAAATGCCAGTAAACTAACCAGGCGACTCCCCACCAGGGCCAACCATCCTCCCTGTCTGAGGCTCCTGGTTGTTGATCCCTTCTCCTCCCATTTGTTTCCAAGCACACTGAGCTGTGCAACTTGATGTCCTATTTGCAAGGTTAACATAGATTTATACCTAACTTCCCTATGCTCATCATTTTTTATTGACCCATCCATAATAATGTTTTCATCGAAAAAAAATGTATAATACCTGGAGAGAATAGGAGGCAGCAAGTATTTTAGGGCCTTGTCAGCGTTTAAGGCAGTAACTATGACATTTGGTGGGAATGGGCCTCTTCCCATGATGGATGGATACCTTTGTTTGCTGAAGACTCAACTGAAGGTGACAGATACTTAACAGACCTGCTCCACTTCTCCCCTCATCCTGGAGTGAGTCATAGCAGAGTTGCATTATCCAATAGATCAACTTTCTGATCCAAATAGGCAAGATTTATTTGATGAGATGTATTCAATAACCTGCTATTCTAGAGTGTCCTCCAGTCACCAGGATGAATGGGGCAGAGGGAAACTCTTTTCTGAGAAGGGGTTTTATGTTATTGTCCCCTAAAATTCTACCTCCTCATAGGATCATAGATTTAGAACTGAGATCCTGTAGATAGGTTTTTTTTTTTGATGCCTCATGTTTTACAGAAGGGGAAACTGAGGGAGGGAGGTCAAATTTTCCAAGTAAACACAGGTAATAAGTACGTCAGAATTCAAACCCTGGTCTTCCTTACTGAAGTTAAATGTTTTATTGCCTATGTTAATTTTTTTTTTGCCCTGGACTTGTGATTTCTTTGGTATGGGAAACCTGTAAGTCAGGAAACTTGCTTGTCAATACTGTTGGGCAACTCTGCACCTTATAGTCTCAGACAGGTAGGTAGTTCAGTGGATAAAGTGCTGGACTTTGATTCATGAAGGCCTCAGTTCAAATGCTGCTTCTGACATTTATTAGAAATATGACCCTGGGCAAATCATTATACCTCTGTCTAACTCAGTTTCCTCATCTGTAAAATGGGGATAACAATAGTACTCCAATGGTTATTCTGAGGATTAAATGAAATAATATATATTTACATATATTATACATATACTTTGAAAACTATGCTGGTCATTGTTGTTATTATTTAAAAGTGACCTGGGCACTACAAGGTTAAGTGACTTATCCAGGGTCAAATAGTCAGTATGTGTCAGAGGTCAGATTTCAACTCAGGTCTTCCTAACTCTGAGACAGTTCTCTACAATGCTTGCTGCCCCTCATTTGGAATATTATCAATTAAAAAAAACCTTATTACCCCAAACTCTAATCTCCTCATGGGAGGTTGATACCAAAAATGCATGACATTTGCATCTCCATTCTGTTATATGTGTGATTTCTGGTAAATATCAAATTCCTTCCCAATTCCATTTCATTGCAGGTCATCAGTTCTGATACAGAATCTACTGTTTCTTTCTGGATGATAGATACTGGGCAGAAAATCAAACAGTTTACGGGTTGCCATGGCAATGCAGAAATCAGCACCATGGCCCTGGATCCAAGTGAGAAGAGGCTTTTAACTGGGAGCCCAGATGGTGCAATAAAGGTGTGAACAAACTCTGGGATGCTGTTTGCCAGCTCTTTTCTCTACAGGAGCTGAGCCAAAAGGTTCTGCTGGGGGAAAACAGCATCCATATAGGGGTGTGTGTATGTGTGCGTGTGCGTGTGCGTGTGCGTGTGTGTGTGTGTGTGTGTGTGTGTGTATGTGAATGCTTGTGTGTGTTGGCCTTGTTAGACAAGAGATGTGACCAGATGACATAAACTTATTAACAAAAAGATTCAGTAACAAAGCTGTCAGGGAAATAGCTCTTGAGTGGACAAAGTATGCTAAGGCATTCTTGAATGAAGGGGTTATAAATGTAGATCAAAGCTTCTTTGTAGAAGCTGCCCAATGACCAGGGCTGCATTTACCTAACAACCCCTACAAGGCCACCAGTGACAAGTAGATTGCTGTTCCTTGAAAACAATGACCATCTTATATTTCTGGCCTAAAGCATGTGACTATTTCTGAAATGTCAATGACTTTTCCCTGGATCCTTGTTAAGGATTTTTTTTATTATTATTATCTCTGGGTTTATTTTATTAATCTTTATTATCATAATACACTGGTACCTAGAGATGGGTTATACTTCCCATATTACCATATGGTGTGTCTTGCATGACTTAATACAAGTTATATGATTATTAATTTATTTGGGGGAACAATGCCAGTTGCTGTTTACTACTATAATACACATATGAAACTTAGGGATTTTTTTTGGCAGGAAGGACATACTCATGATTTTACCAGAGTAGGGAACTCCTGATGTGGAAACTCTGTCCACCAATTCAAGATTGGCAACTCATCAGTAAAGAGAATTATCTAGTCCCCTGAGAAGCTAAATAATTGGCCCTAGGTTCACACAGATAGTAAATGGAAGAACTGGGATTCAAACCCAGGTTTTCTGATGCCAAATGCAGCACCCTTTCCTTTCCAGCCTTATTGGATATTACTCTCCGCCCCAAATTCTGTGATCCAATAAAATGGCCATCTCACCGTTCCTTATATAGTATACTCGATCTCCCATCTCTGTACCTCTGCACTGGCTGTCCAATCTGCCTGGAATGTTCTCTGTCCTTACTTCTGCTCATAGCCTCTCTCTCTTCCTTTAAGGTACAGCTCAAGCACACACCATCATTTACATGAAACCTCTCCATAAGCTTCCAAGTGCCAATTCCCTTCCTATAAATCATTTTATATTTAGCTACCTTGTATATATTTGTATTTATTCACTTTACATTAATGCTTTATACATTTAAATATGTGTTAGCTGTATTTCTCCATTAGAGTATAAGCTCCCTGTAAATAAGGATTGTCTTAATTCATTGTATTTATATCTCCAGCTTCTAGCATGATGCCTGGAACATAGAATGATTTTGATAAATGCTTGTAGATTGACTGATTCTCTTTCCATTCTCAGAGACATATCTTTTTCTTGTAAGAAAGAATAAGAAAGTTCAGTAAAGCTAACATATCAGCATATTGGCCAAGTCAGACAGTGGCTGCAGTGTTCCACACCCTTAGTCCCTCACATCTGTAAAGAAGGGAGGGAGGTACATTTTTCTTATCTTTTCTTCCAGGCCTAGCATCATCATTTTTTTCCCCTTTTAGTTTCAATTGTTTTGTTGCTATTTTTCCCACTTACTTATTGTGCTCAATGCGTATTATTTTCCTAGTTCTGCTTGCTTTACTTTGCACCAGTTCATGTAAATCTCATGTTTTTCTATAGTCTTCACATTCATAATTTCTTATGGCATGATACATTTACCTACTCCAATTTGTTAACCATTCCTCAACTGAAAAGTGTCTACTAGGCATCTGTATACCCAGTGCACTTTCTGATAGTTTGGTTTTTAAGAAGTGGACCAATTGAAAATGAAAATGCTCAGTCATCTACTTTCCATATTCCTAATCAGGCCAAGCTTGGGGAATAGAATGTCTCCTCATTAATATTTAGTTATCCTAAATGCATTGGTGGATTGCCTTTGAATCAATTCATCATAAAATATATTACTAATAGTTACCATACAATTGGTAATCACAAATATATTTTAAAAGGAAGCATATTCTCTTCAATTAATATATATATTAACTAATTTTAAACTCTATTCCTAGAAGCAAACCCAAAACATTTTTTCACAATGTTATGTAGTAAAGGGAATATTTTTTTTTAAAAAAGTGTAATTTCTTTGCCTCTTCTAAAGGTAATTTTTTTCCCTTAAAGATTTGGGATTTCAATGGACATTGTCATCATACCCTGAATGTGGGTCAAGATCGAGCTGTGGATATTTCTCAGATCCTAGTCCTAAAGAAGACTGTACTAGTGGTAGGTTGGGAGAGGTATGTCCTTGGATGTCTTGTAGCAAAAGACTGGAAAGAAGGTAAAGAGAATGTTTTATGTTGGGTTTCCAAATCTAAAAACAGGAGGGAGCATGGAAATGTTGACTCCCTCTGGGTCATTCATTTGCTGCTGACCTAATTGAGGGGAATTCTCAGTAGGAGTTGACTGCTTATCAACTGAGTGACAGATCAAAGAATCATAGGACTTAGAAGAACCTGGAGAAACCATCTGGTGCCTATTTCTGGCTTGGGTGATTTACTCCCAGAGAACATTAATGTCTAAAACAAAAGTTTCCCACCTTCTAAAAATCTTCTCCCAAGGAGGTCCTTTTTTCTCTCCTTTAGTATCACCTTCCAGGGCTTCATGATTTTTAGTCAGAAAGATTTTAACACTCCTCTTCAATTCCTCCAGTTATAATTTGAGCCTTTTCTTTGCTAAAAAAACCAAAAGACAAAAAACAGATCTCTAGCTACAACGGCATATTGGAATATTTTTCAGTTTGTTACATAGAGGTGGCCTTGAGAAAGCATTTACTGTTTTCATGGAAACATTCCTCAACTTTTATCCCAAGGGAAATGATATTTCCTTCTTTTTTCTGGAGAACTGAAGGGTGCACCAGACCCAGGCATTCTAAGGCATCACTGATAAGAGGAAAATTAAAGGGGCCTGAATTATGAAAATACTGTGTCCTGTAAATTTGGCAGCACAGAAAATACTGCTTTAATAGGTAATTAGCCAGCAGTTATTCACTGTCGAATTATCATTTTAATGACTTGAGGGTAGCATGGTATAAACTGTTTCCTCTGCCCCCCCCCCCCCATCAGATTCTATGCTCAGACAACTAACTGTGCCATTTGGGTGGATTTTATTAATCATAGAAAAGACCTTTAATCCAAGCACTAATGCATATAGACACATTAGCAGATGGAGCATATGGCCTATCATTTTTTTCCCATAGAAATTTTGTTTGGTAGGAGGAAAAGCACAGACCAAACTGTTCTACATAATATTATGACATAATTCTTCCATATATGCCTTACAAAAGCAGGCTGCTTCCTGTCCATGGGAGCAATCATTGTGACTCATAGCTAATTCAGCAATCTGCATCCTAATCATCTCTGCACGCTAGGCACAGATACTGACCAAGGTGAAATCTATGGGCTAGGCACTGTGCCTTAATCATAGAGCCCAGAAGACCTTGGGTCACACTCTGCCTCTGACCTATTCTGGTTGGGTCACCATGAGCAAGTGAAGTATAACCTCTCAGTGACCTAGGCAACTCTCTAAGGTCATACATTTTAGATCTTGGTATACATCAATGGAGGCAATTCCTGTGTGGGAATTCTCTATAGTGATGAACTCATAGAAACAGACTCTCCCTTCTTCCAAAAAAAAAATATGGTGAAATGACATCATTTTTCTTTAATGGCCAGCTGTGATCAATGTTTATTTGAATGCTTATTGCAAAATAATTGCTTCATTCTTTTCCCCACTGGAAAAAAAAATGAAAGCCAATTTCTGAGTAAGTCCCAGTACTTAGTACAGTGCCTGGCCATAACAGGTACTTAATAATAATATTTAGAGGACATAATTTTGTTCATTAAAAAATTAATAGCCCATAATTAGAAGCAATGACATGATTAGAATAGTCTCATTTTGGAGAAAGCGATTTTTAAAATTGGAAGCTTAAAGTCATATAGGGCCATTGAGTCCCACGAATATATTGAAAGAAATCTAAAGACCAGTAGTCTGACTTTCTCTTCTGTCATTTGGATGGTTAGCTGTCATATACTCATGTATCTAGCATTCTATCTTCCATTGCTGTTTCTCTGCACATGCTGTTCCCTATGCTGGGAATGCCAAGCTCCCTTTAAGGCTTAGCTCAAGAGTCACCTCCTAAACAAGACCTTTCCAGTACACCCCCAGTTCCCACCTTCCTTATTATTTTCTTTGAAAATATTTTGTATCCGCTTTTCTATGCACATTTTCCCTCAGGAGAATGTAAGCCCCTTGAAGGCAAAGATTATTGACTTCAACTTTTTATCCCCAGAGGCCAGAAGAATAACCAATACATAATAGGTAAATGGTAAATTTTTTATGAATTGCTTTGAATTGGACTGAAAAAGACTTTGGAAGGAAGCTTTGAGAATGTCGGAACAAGAATGGAAGAATTCATCTTCCTAGTTGTGGTCTTGTAAAGACACACTGGGGGTGGGGGTGGGGCGGCATGGTTTTGACTGAGACAAATGAAGACACAATCTATTTGAGTAGAAATCAGGGCTGACAAATCTGTCACTACTGGTGACCTATTAGTCATAATTGGAAAAAGCAGCACAACCTACCATGAAAGTGTTTTCCTTTCAACTATAATGGAAAGATCAATGAATTGTCCACTATAATGTTTATTCATATTTCCATGGATTTATGAACTATATTTCCTGGGAAAGAGGCATTGAATTGGAACATATTTTATAACATCTAAGACTGGATCTCTTTTATTGGAAGAACTTAGAAGAGGGGCTAAAAAGAGATATCATCAGTTCTGTTTGGGAAAGGGGAGGCAAGATTGCTGATATCATTTATGAGCTACAAATGTCCTGGTGTGGCGTCAACAACTCAGATCACTCTCCTGAAAATCTTAAGGATTTGAGAAAAGGAACCTGAAGACTGCAATTAAGCTACAACAACTTCCTTCCAAACCCAAGGGAAGCCACTGCCTTTATTACTGTTCGTCCAGGAACTTGTGTCAACATGGACAAGTGAATTTAATCTTTCTGTCCATTGGTCACTAAGGAGCCACTCACTAACTGCTAACAATTAGTAGGGATCATTTGATTAAATTGGCTGGGCAATTCTGTCAATTCTATGGAACCAGTTTGTGTCTTTGTGTGGACACAGACTCAAATGTTGGTTATTTTGGACTTAAAGTCGTATCCTGAATTTTCCTGATTGTAAAGTACGAGTGCTATGGTGAAGGTTGAAGGCAGGGATGACTCACTCCCCGAGGACATTAATGTCTTCAACAAGAGGCACTGACATGATGGTACTCTGGGCAACTCAAAAAGTACGTCTTGTTATCGAAAAGGAAATAAGCTGAGTGCTGGCTTCTGTGGTATGTCCAGGGCCAAACTCCCAGTACAGCACTGGGGCCATGGCTTTAGAGATGGAAGGGACCTTAGGAACCATGTAGTCCAATCCCTTCATTTTACAGGTGAGGAACCGAGGCTCAGAGAGGTTATGACTTGCCCAGGATTATGTGATGACTAAATTTCTCAGGAGATATGTGGACCAAGATCTTCCTCACTCCCAGTCCAGTACTCCTAAATATATATTTCTGACTGGATCTAAACATGTAAAGACAAATAGATTGATGAGTAATCAGCCAGCAGAATTAATCAGCCCACCCAATGCCTCTATGTCATCTATGCCATTCTGATTCAGACTCCCATCACCTCTCATCTGGACTATTGCAATAACCTCCTAACTGGACTCCCTCCCTCGAGTCTCTCACATAGCTGCCAACATGATTTTCCCAAAGCACAGGTATGACATATTAGTCTTTTATTCAAAGAACTCCAGTGACCCCCTAATGCTGTTGTGGTTTAGGTGATTGGTTGAGTTCTACTCTTTGTGACCCCATTTGGAATTTTCTTGGCAGAGATGCTGGAATGGTTTTCCATTTCCTTCTCCAGCTCATTTTACAGATGAAGAAACTGAGACATACAGGGTGAGGTGATTTGCTGAGGGCCACATAGTTAGAAAGTGTCTGATGCTGGACAGGTCCTGCTGACTCCAGTCCGGGCACTCTATCCACTGCATCACCGAGCTGCCCGTCCCTAATGCTACTAGGACCAAATATGAAATCTACTGGTTCATGTTAAAAGCTATTCACAACCAGATCCCAACTTACCCTTTCAACTTTATTACACAGTGCTTCCCTTGACTCAAACTAGGATCCAGCTTAACTGGCTTTCTTGTCATTTCTCATACATGACACTCCATCTCCCATAGCGTTTTCCACTGGCCTAAAAAAATATTCCTCCCTCAAGTCTATGTCTTAGAATCCACAAATTCCTTCAAAGCTTAGCCTAAGGGCTACCTTCTATATCACACTGACCTCTTTGGCAGTCTGGTGAAGCCTATGGACCCTTCTCAGAATAATGTGCTTAAATGTACAAATAAAATACATTGATTGAAAAGGAAATCAATTATATCAAAATATGGTTATCAAAATGTAAAGACAGTAATAACAACAATGACGACAACAACAAATTATAGTTCATAGACACCAGGTTAAGATCTTCTGAATCTATGTGAATCTTTAGTTAAATCTATATGAAGGTTTTCCTGATTCTCCCAGCTGTTCATGCTTTCCCTCCAGATTATCTGTTTTGTAGCTTTTCTTTATGTGTTAAGTGTCTTTCCTTACCAGACCCTAAGCTCTATGAGGGCAGACACTGTTTCACTTTTGTCTTGTATCCCCAGGGCCTAGCTTGGGGTCTGAGAGCTTAATGAATACTTGTTGATTGACTGAAATAGACTTTCTTGAATACTTTGATTTAATCTCCTTGGTGTGACCATGGTCAAATCATTTAAAGTCTTTGAATGTTCCTTTCCTTAGCCATAAAAATAAAGAAATACCTACCTTCCTCCAAGGTTATAAAAAAGAGGAAATGAGATTATATATATATATATGTATATATATATGTATATATATATATATATATATACACACACACATATATATAGAAACACTTTGCAAACCTTGAAATGCTCTATATTGTACATATCAGTCCTTATTATTTGTCTGTATAAATGGCCTCAATCTCTATGTCTCTTTTGTATTTCTATATTTCCCACCTGGGGTCCTTTTCTAGTTATGTAGATTTAATCCCATCCCTGTGACAGTTTTAAAATTCATAAATAAAATACTAAAGATATATAAGGATATACATGAATAAAATGCTAAATAGAAGGTGAAAGTGCCTGAGACCTTCATGCAATATGTAGCCAGACTCAAATAATCACTAATGATATGGCAGCGGCTCCTTGCTCACAGTAGGTACTCAATAAAGCTTTGCAGATTAAATTTGGAAGTCAATGTTTGAAAGTGACCTGAGTTTGAGGATTTCATAGGGCCTCAGGCAGAAAACCTAACCATCACAGAATATAAGGTTCTTTGCAGTCATCTCATAATGGAACCATAATTCTCCCTAACTCCACTGGCTTTACTTTTTAGTTACAATAAGGATCCACTAATATTTTTCATGGTTATTGCCGATTCGAGGATATTTGCAGGAGGGAACATAAAGAAGCAGGCATACTTGAAATTCACAGATAAGCCAACTTCCAAACCTAATTTTAGGTATTAGTTTCAGTCTAATTCAATACAATTCAAAAGAATCCAAAAGAATATGACAGTAATTTATTAAATAGTGCCTACTATTTGCAAAGTACTGTGCTAGGCCTAGGGTACAAATATAAGCAGCAATAATGACAACAAAAATAACCCTGTGTTCAAGGGGTTTACATCAATAAGAACTTTAACATTTCTTTTTTTTTTTTTAGAAAAGAACTAGATTCCCCTTTCCTCTCCCTGCATTTTCTCTCTTCAGCACCAAACTTTAATGAACTAAAAATAAGCAAGAAGGAATAGAAGAATCATGGTATCAACAGACATATCATGGTACCTACTCCTAACACACATTGAATCCTGACTCTCTCCCTCCTCTCTGGTTACTAATATTTTTTTCCCCTCTTCAAATTAGCCAGTTTTTACTTTTCTGATATTGTATCTTTCAATAGAATATAAACTCCTGGAGGGCAGGGACTATTCTTACTGTCATCTTTTTATCTCCAATGCCTAGCACAGATTGAATGAAAGAATCACCCCCGGAAATATCACCTGTGTCAATTTTCTTTAATGAGGATTTCTTCCTGATCACTGTTAGCAGGAAGCATGCTTTCCTAGACAGATTATATGCTCAGGAAAACTTTTTTTCCCCTTTCACAACAAACTCATTTGACTTTTAGCTGAAGGGATCAAGTCACTTAAATTCAGAATTATTTAGAAGACGGATCATTGTCATAAAGGGGGGGGGTGTTGACAGTATGAAGAACCTCCTAGGAAGTACAAATATAAAGTGAAATTTCAAATAATTATATAGTGAGGGCATTCACTAGAGAGCCCACCAGGACAAAGACCAAGTCCCATCAACCTTGGAAAAGCAGACTTTGGATTGTTTTCTCCTGGGGTGCACTTTCTTCTGAATTACCCAGGTAATTGTCTCGTTCTGTATTTCCCCTAACTTTGTAGGCATAGCCCTGCACTGTGGGTGAAGCTATGCACTTTGAAAAATGCTATTTTAAAATAGAAAGTATGGTATAGATTTTTAGGCTATTTCAAGACAACTGTCATTTCTTGGGGAAGGTTTTCAGATTGGGTATTAAGGGAAAAGATGACAGCTAATTAATTTCTCAGTATTTTGACACCCAAGGTCAAATATCAGAAGGGATACTTTGCACATTTTTGGTAGTTCTGCAAAGTTCTTTGCAGATTTGGGGGAGGGGAGGATCATTTTGAGTATTCTAGGTTAATAATCAGCATTTCTGCAAATGGGCAGATTCAGCACTGGCTTCTGGAGAGAGGGATCAGGTAAGAAGGAGGGCTAATGAAATGATTCTAAAGGGAATATCTCCAACCAAATTTTAACTATTTAATTCAATTCAATCAGGTTTTTAAGTGGGGCAGCTAGGTTGTGGGGTGGATAGTGTGCCAGGCCCAAAGTCAGGAAGACTCATCTTAGTGAGTTCAAATCTAGCCCCAGATACTAGCTGTGTGACCCTAGGCAAGTCACTTAACCCTGTTTGCCCCGATTTCATCATCTGTAAAATGAGCTGGAGAAGGAAATGGTTTATTCCAGTATCTCTGCCAAGAAAACCTCAAATGGGGTCATGAAGAGTTGAACATGACTGAAAAATAACTGAACTACCACAAATGTAGACAGGTCATTAAATCATTATAACTAAAAATAGCCAGCATTTATATAGGGCTTTAAGGTCTGAAGAGTGTTTTACATGTATTATCATATTTTATCCTCATATCCCATCTGGCCAGCTAGGTGGCAAAGCAGATAGAGCTCACTGTACCTGGAATCTGGGAGTCCTGAATTCAAATCTGGTCTCAGACATTTATTAGCTTTGTAACCCTGGGCAAGTCATGTTACCTCTCTATGCCTCAGTTTCTTCATCTGCAAAATGAGGATAATAATAGCACTTACCTCCTAGGGTTGTTGTGAGGCTCAAATGAGAAAATATTTATAAAGTGCTTTGCAATCCTTAAAGTACCATATAAGTATTAGCTAGTGTTATTTTGCAGATGAGGAAACTGAGACAGACATAGATTAAGTGACTTGTTCAGGGTTACATAGCTAGCAAGCATCTGAGGCTCCTTTGATTTCAGGTCTTCCTGACTCTATCTGCTGCACCACACAACTGCCTACAAACAAGATGTGTCCAGGATAAATTGGGGATGATTACCAGAGGGAAGGTGCTAGCATTAAAGGGGATCAGGGCAGGCTTCTCATGGAAGGTGAAATTTTAGCTTGGACTTGAAGGAAGCCGGGAGGTAGCAGGAATATTCCAGGAATGGGAAATAGCCATTGAAAACACCTGGAGTCTGGAGAGACTTGTTTGAGGAACAACAGTATCACTGGATTGGTGAGTATGTGGTGGGGAGGAAGGTGGAAGAATAGTGGAAATTTAGAAGCTTGTGAAGGGCTTGAATCTAAGACAGAGGATTTTATATTTGATCGTGGATGTGATAGGGAGCCACTGGGGTTTACTGAAGGAGGGTGTTGGCGACAGGGTCAGATTTGTGCTTTAGGGAGATTAATTTGACTGTTAAGTGGAAGATGAGCTGGAGTGGGAAAGGAGGCCAAGCAGCAGACAGTAATAATAGTGGAATGAGGGAATGAGGGCCTAGAGGAGTCAGATAGGGACATTCATAGAGGTTATGAAGGTAAAATTGACAGCTTTTGGCAGTAGATGGGATATGGAGGCTGAGAGAGGTTAGGATGACACCTAGCTTGCAAGCCTGGCTGACTCAAACAATGGTGAGACCCTCGAAAGTAAAAGGGACATTTAGCAGGAAGGATGGTTCCCTGTCCCCCAATGTGGAGCTCCACTCCAACCTCTGTCCCTACATTCAGAAGTTTCCTGTGCATCTGAGCTTCCATTCACCACTCAGCCTCCTAGCTCAGTAAAGCACGTCTGTCTTGTAAGATATTTCCTCAGGGTCTTGTTTTGTGACTTGTTCTCTAATTTGATAGACTACTTCATGCTAAGGTATTAAGGACTATTAAGAAGAAATTTGTTATTTCCACAATCCCAAGAAACACCTCTTCCAACGCCCCAGCTAATTTTAAGAGGATTCTTCCATGCTTCCTCCACTAAAGTTCTGTTCAGATGTGTCACTGTGGAAAGAAGGTGACCTAGGGGTCCTGAAGGCTATGCCAGCACCATATAAGCTTTCTGATACAGGCTGACGATGTCATCCAAAGACCAAACTTGCTAGATTTGGAAAGACTCACAACCAATTTTGTCACAGGTCAAACTTTCAAAATTGTCAGCCCTCACAAGTTTTAGTGACCATTTAAGTTATGTCTATGGATAACTTCATTGATCCAGACATGAGACTCCTTTGCTCTAGTCTTTAGTGGCTCCCTGTTGCCTACCAGGCAAAATTCACATTCCTTTGCCTAGCATTCAAGATCTTCCACAGTTTTGTGCCATTCTATCTTTTTTAGGTTTATCTTATTACTCCCTCTATGCACTGCACTCGATACCCTACCTTCACTGAATTCCCTTCAAACATTTCCTGTGCTTTCCTATCTCCGTTTCTTTGCTTGCATTCTTCCCTATGTCTGGACTGTTTCTGTCACCATCTTTACTTGTTACTTGTTTGATTCCTACTCATCCCTAATTTATGTCCAACTCAAATGCTACCTGCATGAGTTTCTTGATCTTCCTTATCTTTAAAAACTTTCTTTTTCCCTTAGTCTTTACAACATGGTTTGTTTTCCATCCCTATAATGCCTTTACTTTATATTATAATTGTCTGTTTGTCGCTCTATAACATGACTACTAGATGAAAGGTTCTTAAGCTGAGGTTCCTGGAGTCTGTGAACTTGGATGCAAAAAAATATATTTTTACTTTCTAATCCATGAAGCAGAATTTCATTTAATTACTTAAAAACATGATTGAGAGAGAGAGAGAGAGAGAGAGAGAGAGAGAGAGAGAGAGAGTTCATGGACTTCCCCAGTCTGCCCAATGGGTCATTATTCAAACAAAACTGAGAGTTGGAGATAGCTTCTCATCGAATATTTGTACCACTGTCAGCATTTAGCAAGGTGCTCCCACCAAGCGATATGTAGTGAATAAATATTTGGTGAATTAAATTTTTCCACTGACAGTTTTTTGTCAGCCCTTGAATTCCACCCAATAGGTGATGAGCTGTCCCTTCTACCTCCGGGGTCACTGTTGGATGTGGATAAATTCTTAATCTCTTTCCCTAGGGCAATTACTGTCTTCCGACTTCATGACTTCACTCCCTTTTTGGTTCAGCCTGAAGAATGGAAAGGAGGGGCACAGCATCGTGAGGACATCTTATGTGCTGCATTTTTACCTCCACAGACTCTAGTTACAGGTCATGGAACATTAATTTGCCAACCCATGCTGAAAGTTTAAATTCTTTCTCTCTCAAAAAAAATTCAGAATGTATTAATTGCAAAATGAATGTCTCTTCTGTGTAAAAGAACATATTTGATGTTTTTGCTATTTCCTGACCTTCCCTCTCGGGCTTCCTCCTACTTTCTTCTTCTCTTCCATGGGATCAAAAAAATATAAAAGGCCTTTAGAGGTCATCTAGTCCCTTATTTTACAGATGAGGAAACTGAGGCCTCAAGAGACAAAGTGATGTCACCATAGGTCCATAGATATAGAACTAAAAGGGACTTTGGAACCAGTCTAACCCCACTCTTTCATTTTACAGATAAAACAAATGGACTAAGCAGCTTGCCCAAGATCATACAGGCATTAAGCTTCAGAGAAAGGATTTGAATTCAAGTCTTTTGACTCTGGAAACAGTATTCTCTCTAGCCTACCATGTTACATTATAAAGGCTCCTTGGCTAGTAATTTCACCAAGGTTGCTATTTCCTCATTTAGAGGCCAGTACTCAGAGTACTATCTCTGAGTCTATATATATATAATATTATATATATTATATAATAAAGTCTAGCCCAGACTACACTTGGGAGATTCTGATTGCAGCTTTTGTCCCATAACATGTGAGTAAATTGGAGCTTTTGGAAAGGTGGCTGGATTTGCTTTAAGATGAAATATTTACACAGTCCAAATGTTACATCATTTCTTGCCAAGGAAAGTTAAGTTGTGAGGACAAATTCCCATAAAAAGTTACCAATGAGTCCATATTTCAGCAGACTGAATAAAAAAAACCCTAAAGAACAAACATAAAGAACAGACCAGCAATGAAATGAGGCAGGATATAAGTGTCCCAAATTCTCAAAGTCATGGGAGATGAGTAGATTGAATTAGCACCAGACAGGAAATGGATCTTTCAGGTAGAATAGAAGTTTCTCCAGAAACTGAAGACAAAAAACCAAGGTTGATTCTGCAAGAAATTAATTGACTCTTGTGTGTGGTAGGTGTTCAAGGGCCAGCTCTACAATGTGATTAGAGACTCTTAGTCTGAACCCCTGATCTCTTCCTTGTGGGGAACTCTCTGCTCTCTAGTAGGGAGAATCCTTCCATCAATCAGATCACAACTTGTCTGTACCTTACCATCTTCAAGAGTTGTCTGAGGGCCCTGAAAGTTAAAATGGACTTAACTGAGGTTACATAGCCAAGGCAGATTCTAATTCTAAGGGTTTACTTGCTGTTGACTAGGCCATGTTGTCTCTGGAGACATTGGAATATGGTAGACACAAATCAAACTACCATGTTCTACTTATATACAAGACCCAATGAAGGTCAGATGGTTCAGGGCATGAATTTTTAAATGAGATATCATCATTCTTTTTAGGCCTGATGGGTCTAAATAGTCTTACCATATGGACTAATGTTGTACTTCTTTTTAACAATATTGGGAAAGAAATTTGTATGTATTTATACACTTACATATATGTGCATATATATGTATATGAGGGTGTGTGTGGAAAGGTGAGGGCAATAAAGATAGCATGAGAGTAGCAAAGAAAGGAAGGCAGGAAGAGGTGCAGTGGATAGAGCACCAGTTCTGGAGTCAGGAGGACCTGAGTTCAAATCTAGCCTCAGACTCATAACACTTGTTAGCTGTGTGACCCTGGGCAAGTCATTTAACTCCATTGCCTAGTCAAAAAAAAAAAGGAAGGAAATGCGAGAAGAAAAAAAGATAAGGAAGTGAAGGCAACAAAAAGATAAAATTGGGGAGAGAGGATTCAATTGTATTCATTTTTACCTTGGGGCTCCCAATGTTTCTTCCCCCTTCCCCAGAAGAGAAGCTAACATTTCAGTACTGATAAAATACTACTGCCCATGTTTACCTGTCCATTGAGATTTTCTAGCTAATCTAGTTTTTTGATGATTTGTGCTCTTTATTCCATAGGGAGTTATGATGGGGAAATTCTCATATGGAATAACAGTACAGAAAATGCTCACCATATCCTGCACCCATATTACCGACGACATCTCCGTTCACAATGGGGTGAGTACCATTTTGCAGCTTGAGTCCTGGCCAAACCCCACTGAGTTTGCTTGGGCTCTGCATAGACTTTGTGCAGCCTGATCACTGATAAATTATACATTATCGACCTTTATTGCCAGAAGTTGTTTACAGCTTTTCTTGTCAAAGTGACTAAAAGAGGACCTGGAAATTTCTCTGGGTTAACTAATTCTCCAGGACATGCTTCTGCCTTGTCTTTTGCCACCTCAGTGTTTTCAGAGGACACTCCTTCATTGCTTTCATTAGAACTTCTTTTGGCCAATAAACTTCCCCAGATTGCTTCAGATGGAGACTTGAGGGAGTCTTTGAAGCCTTTGTGTGACAACTGGAACTTTTCTCTATAATTCTTTCTAGTTTCTGCTAAATATTAAATATGTCACTTGGAGGTTGATTTTTATTTGTTCTGTATTAGAAGGTGGGACTGAGTTAGATTTTATGATAGCTTAATGGAGCCCAAGATACATCTTTTTGCTGGAGCTAAATGGCTTGACAATTGCCTTTCCCATTTTGAATTAGTTTCAGAGAAATTTCTCCACTGTCTAATATTTTTTGGATAATGAATGTGTATTTTTTTAAAGCCAGTGTCTCAATGTATCTCAATGACACCTTTTCAAGTCACCTCAATGTGGCCCTGAAAAAGGATCAGTCATCAAATGTACTTTCTTCTGATCTGCTTAGGAAATCATCTATTGAGAGGGGTCAGACCCTTAGGGCTTTCTGAGCTATCACTGTAAAGTCATGAGATTTCTCCTCTCCAAAGACTTGGCCATTGGAATTCACTGGAATAGTCTATAGAAAGGTCAAGGTCTTGTCATGGCATAGTGGAGGAGCCCTCGATTTGGAGGCAGAGCACCTCAATTTTAAACCTTGCTCCTCTGCTCAATCACCTTTGGGCAAATCATTGAACTTCTCTAGTCTTTGGTTTCCTTATTTGTAAACTTCAGTTGGGGTTGAACCAGATGCCCTCTGAGGTCCCTTCTAGCTCCAGATATATGAGCTCTAGAAAAGTCTTGAGTTACTTAGCAAAATCATGGAGAGTGTTTCCTTTCCCAGAGGGTAGGGGTAAGTGCTGGGGAGAGGGAATGAAAACTGCCTACACTCATTGGATCAGAGAGTTAGAGCTGAGAGGGACCTTGGAGCCTATTGAGGCCAACCCCGTAATTATATAGACGACATAAATGAAGCAGAGACTTGCCCACAGCCCCACAGACAGTAAGTGTCTGAGATGAAGTCTGAACTAAGGTCTTCCTGGCTCCAAGGCCAGGGCCCTCTCTGCTGTCTACTACTACTTCTATCCCACCTGGGACTTGAATGTAACTGCCTGGGGTCTTATAGCTTATGAAGGGTCAGTGTGTCCAAGAAACTTTGATTAATGACAAAAATAGTTGGAAAGCTTTTGCTAAGCCATATGCCTCTTCTTTGCATTCTCTTAGTGCTAGGCCCTCAGGATTCAGGATTCAGGCACGATGTTCATAGGAACAGGTATTTATAGTTGGAAGGCATCTTAGGGGTGATCTAGTTCAGTTTCTCTGTTTTACAGAAGAGGAAACTGAGCCCCAGAGAAATGATATGAGGTTCCTGAGGTCACACAAGTAATAAAAGGGAAACAGGATTCCAATCATGGATGCTTCCCTTCTCTTTGACTTAATTCTGTTCCAGGGATTATTGCTGGGTGCTGGGGACACAAATTCAAAAGAAAAAAAAATGACACCTCTCTCAAGAAACTTATATTTTTGTTTTGGAGAAAGGATGTATATAGAGAGATATATGTACAAAATATTTCAAGGAAGGAGAAAGCCTTAACAACTGAGGGTACAAGAAAGAGCTTCGTGGAAGAAGTTGGACCTAAAGATGACCCTTGAAGAAAGCTAAGGAGTATAAGAAGTCCAGGTGAAAATGCAGGGTATTCTTGGCATAGGGCACAACTTATGCAAAGGCCCAGAGGCTAGAGCTGGAATGTGGAGTTGAGGTAACAGCAAATAGGCCAGTTTATTAGCCATTCAGCATTTGTGATGGAGTGGGGTATTTGTTTGGTTTTGATTTTTGCCAGAATTGTGATTTCTTTAGTATAGGGCACATTTAGTAAGGAAATGCCCTCTAATAATGCAGATCAGCAACTGATCTGAAGCTTCTTCTCTTTGAGATACTCCTAAGACACTGGGAAGTTAAGTGGCTTGCCTGTGGTCATCCAGCCCAGCTGTGGCTGAGGTAAGACTTTGGTGCAGCCTATCCTGGTCTTCCTGAGTCCAGCACCAGCTTTCAGTCCACATTACCACACTGTTTCTCATAAGAGGGGAGTAATGTGACATTTCTGGAAAATTAGACTAGAGGAAGATTGTCAAGAACTATAAATACCAATATTTGTATAAACTTCTTAGAAGAACATTTATGTCAATGTGTTCTAGTCTTATTGTGACAGGTGCAAGTTGGTAGGACCTTGGGAATAGAGAGTCATCATTACTTGAACAGGTCTTCCTACTTCTGCTGAAATGTACCTGAACAACACAGGAAGACATGGGGACTTATCCTCTCTACTCAATCTCCACTAAATTAGTCAACAAACACTTATAGGTACTAGGGATACAAATCATAAGTGAAACAGCCCCTCCCCTCAAGGAGCTTGTGATCCATTTGAGAGATGTGCTATTCATAAAGACAAGTAAGCACAGGATATGTACCAAATACATAAGCCATGATTGGGCTAACCATTATTAATGGTCAGGAAAGCTCTTTTGTCTTGTTCAAGGCAGCACTTGAATTGAGCCTTCAAGGGAGCTAGGGATTCAAAGAGGAGGAGATGAGGAGGGAAGGAATTCCAGTCATGGGGGAAAGCCTGTGCAAAGTCATGGAGGTGAAGAGATGGAAAGTCATATTTGGGTTTAGCTTGGGGTGGGGTACCCAAGGAGTTTGGCTCAGGCACAGAGTTCATTAGGGAAGGGGATGAATAATCAGCCTGGAAAGATAGGCTTGAGCCTTTGATCTCTAGAAGGGAGGGTGAGGGAATAGGTTAAAGGTGGAATATAGAAGGGCGTTTAAATTAATGGGAATGGGAGGACAAAGGAGGGATACTGGGGAGGGTAAGGGAATAAATCTAAGAGGGGTTTAGAAGTGTGTTTAGATTTAAAGGAATGGGAAGACAAAAGAGGGATCCTTGGAGGGGGGCTAGGTTAAGAAATAGGAGGGCAAGGTAGAGGGTAGAAGTAAAGTAGAGAAGTTAGGAGGGATAGGAAATAAGAGATACGCACAACCACTGAAACAAAGATCAGAAGCAGAATTTGTTAGGAAAAGTATATGTCTATATATGTAAGTATGTATGAGTATGTAAGTATATGTGTATCCATATGTCTATATCTATATCTATATCCATGTCTATATATAAATATATCCTCAATTGTAGCCTTGTAGGGGGGGAGGGGGAAAAAGAACAAAGTAAAAAGTGCACAGCAGAGAATAAAAGAGAACTAATAAGGAAGCAATGAAAAGACTGACAGCTCTCAACACAATGCATAGTACTTATTATATAGGCTTTCTTGAAATGGAAATTTTTTGCTATACATTTTGAATCCTTTCTCACATTCTGCAGTGCACATGACATGCTTTTTTCCTTTTCTTATTACGTATTCATGTTTCAGTATTTAAGTTTATGGATTTTTTTCTTTTCTTATTCTGTATTAAAGTTTCAGTAATTAAAAAAAGAATAATAGCATATATTCTAACCAATACAATGATTACTCTGATAAGTACAATCATCCAAGGCATTTCCAAAGGACTCATGCTGAAAAATGTCATCCACCTCCAGAGAAAACTGAATTCAGAGTGCAGATTGAAGCAGATTTACTTTTACTTTATTTTTCTTGCCTATTTTTTTTACAACATGATTAATACAAAAATATGTTTTGCACGACTTCACATATATAATGAGCATCATATTGATTGCCTTCTCAGGGGGTGGGGGAGGGGATAGAGAGAGGAAAAGAATTTGGAACTCAGCATAAGAAAATAATTGTAAATTTTTTAAAAATTAAAATAAAAAAATAATATCAGCCTTACAGCTGTGTGGAGGAGAGATTGGAGAGGCTATAGAGCAAATTATGAGGATGAATTAAGAAACTATTTTAATAGTGCAGATGAGATGTGTTGAGGGCCTGGACAAAGGTGGTTGTGGAAAATTCCATAAGGGAAATCCATCTTTGGTCTATGGGTTATTTTAGCCTGGATAGAATCTAAATATACAAAAAAGAGTCATAGGGGAGAGATGAGGGAGAAACTTTATGAGATTTGCTCTGATCATTGGGCAAATCTTATCCCTAAAATTCAGTAACTGTTTGAATTGTATTTTATTAAACAAAGAGTCCTATTTTTCTATCATCGTGGCCTGGAGAAAGCATAATGAAATAATAATTCCTATTTACAGATAGAAATTTGCCTTCTAGAGCAACTCACTAACGTGCATCTTACATATTCAGATGATCGGTATGGCTGATGTCATTAAAAATTCCTTAGGATGGTTATGGAGGAAGAGCTGAAAATGAAATGAGCTGAAAATGTTGAGGTACCTGAATCATGCTCGCCATGAACACCTGAGACTGCAGAGAGAATTTACACACACATAGAGGTGCAACTGCATGTGTGCTGGGCCACCCTATGAAGTGTCTACTGATTTGCAGCTGAGAAACCCATGCTAGGAACGCAGAGTTTTGCCTGAGGTGGGGATACATAAAACACATGGGAGTTTTAGAATAGTTTACAAAAGGTATGATGAGTGTGGGTTGGAAATCTATAAGTGGTCTTGGCTTCAGTGAGTAGATTTTATGGATAGAGAAACACAGGCATCTCTATCCATAGAGCTACTCGATGCACTTGAAGAACATATATTAGAGGCCTCTTATGTAACACCCTTCTTTAGTATCTTATTGTGAGGTGTAAATGATCTTGGGCTCGGTAGGTGGAGTCAGTCAGTCTACAAGCACCTACAGCTAATATGTGTCTGAGGCCAGATTTGAACTCAGGAAGATGAATCTTTCTGACTTTAGGCCAAGTGCCCTAGGCATTATGGTGCCACCTAGCTGAAGCATTTATTAAACACCTACATTGTGCCAGACCTTGTGTTAAGTATTGGAGATAAGAAGCTAGGCAAAAGATAACGCCTGCCTTCAAGGTGCTGACAGATTCCCCAGTCTAATGGAGAGACAAATGAGAATAATTATGGCCAAGGAAGATATCCACAAGCTGGATTGGAAATGATCATAGGGGACAGGCAGGGCTATCAGAAAGGCTTCTTGTAAGCAGGTGGGGTTTTATCTGGGACTTTAAGGAAGCCAGAGAAGCCAGGAGTGAGAACATTTCAAGCATGGGAGTCAGCAGAGAAAATAAATGGAGTCAGGAAATGCAGTGGCTTGTGTGGGGAATAGCAAGGAGGCCATTGTTACCCGATGACAGAGCACATGGGGGAGAATAAAATGTGGGAATAGATTGTCAAGGTAAGGGGCACAGGCTTTGAATGCCAGACAGAGGATTGTATACTTTATACATTTATATTTGAGGTCATAGGGGGCCACTGGAGTTTACTGAATGGGAGGTGACATGGTCAGAGCTGAGTTTTAGAAAGATTAATTTGACAGCTAAATGGAGGATGGACTGGAGTGGGCCTGGAGTGGACAGGCCCTGTTCCCAGGGAGCTCACATTCTAATGAGGGAGGCAATATGAAAACAACTATGGAAATTCAGCATATATACGGAGCATATGGGAGCTAATCTCAGAGAGAAAGCTCAAGAGTGGAGGTAGTGGTGGTGTTGGGGAACGAGAAAAGGCCTCCTCCTTCAGAAGGTGGGATTTGATCTGAATTTTGAAGGATGCCAAGGCACCAGGATTTAGGAAGACCTGAGTTCAGATCCTGCCTCAGACACTTACTAACTCTGTGACCCCAGGCAAATCCCTTAATGTCTCTCAACATTAGTTTTCTCACCTCTAAAACAATAAAAGCACCATAAAATGTGAGCTATGATGATGATGGTTTTTGTTCTTGTTATTTTGAGAGGCTATGCTAGCGGAGTACACATTCTGGTAAGTCTTACCAAATTGGAGTAGACTTAAGAATGGACCCACTCTGTCAATAGTCGTGAGATCTCTTTAGATGAATTCAGGGAGGCTTATTACTGAGTTGGCCTTAGGGTCCTGAATTTTGTGGCTGTGGCAACTCAGGAAGACTGTCTACTGAGCACAGATCATCGTTAATGGAGAAAGTATGCATAGCAACAAAGCAACTCGGTGTACCTGCCTTTGGGATGGATGGCCACTTGTTGGGAATATTGTGGAGGGGGCTCAGAAATGAGCTCTTTGTCATGGCCTCTGACCTCCCAGCTCTAAAAATCAATGATTTTTGTTTAGGGAAGAAAACTAGGGAACAACCAGTGTATTTTTATAGCTATTTGAAATTAGTTTCAAGATCGAATTTCCCTTCACATTAAGCCAATCCACTTTGTCTCTCTTTCAGATGGAGATGCAGACCCTGAAAAGCAACCTAGGGCTGAAAGGGGGCTCTCCCTTTCTCTCTCTGCAGGGGAGGCCGTTCTAGCAGTTAACTCCTCTGAGATTGACACCACCGAGGGAAATCATGCTGTTATGAGGCTTTCCTTCCTGGAAGCTAGAAAAAATATTACAATGACAGGTAAAATGTCTTCTATGTTGCTGGCTGCCTTTGACTTTCTGTAGAATGTCAGAAAAAGGGACTATAAAGCGAGAGTGCCTGTGGGGTTGGATGATGCCTTCCTACTTAGACCTTAGAGGTAGGTGGAGGGTTGTGAATTAAGTAATGTCGGAGGGTTGGAGGGCCAGTGTCTGGAGAGAGTGGACAGGTATGGACATTTCACTGGTTTAAGAAACACCTAGATAAGGAAACTTCCCAGATCAATGCAGATCAGCACATTCCCTGTAGCTTATTGTCTTGGTTACCTACTTGTACTCAGAGGTTGAGTGACTAGCTCAGAATTACCCAGCTGCTAAGTGTCTGTTACGGGATTTGAATCCAGACCTTCCTGAATCCAGTCCAGTCTACTGTACCAGACTTTGTTATTGTGGTCATTCAGACATTTTCAGTCATGTCCCACGCTTCGTGATCCCATTTGGTGTTTTCTTGACAAAGATACTGAAGTGGTTTGCCATTTCCTTCTCTAGCTCATTATACAGGTGAGGAAACTGAGGCAAACAGGGTTCAGTGACTTGCCCAGGGTCACACAGCTAATAAGTGTCAAGTGTTTGGTCTGAGGCCGGATTTGAACTCAAGTTCTCCTGACTCAAGGGTTGGTACTCTATCCACTGTGCCACCTAGCTGCCCCATCAAGTAGCCTTCTCTTTGTGCCTTATTCAAGTGTGTTCAGCAGATCACAGGATCACATATTTAGAATAAGATGGGACCTTAGAGGTCATCTGGTTCAATGCCTTCATTTCACAGAAGAGGAAATTGAGGTCTATGGAAGTTAAATGATTTACCCAACATCCCACAGGGAGTGACAAGGCCAGGATTTGAACCCAGATCATCTGATGCCAAATTGGCTTTTTATTGTCCTACATGGCCACTTTAGGTTTGGTGACTTTAGCAAAGGTCTTTCTTGGGGTGAGGGGGGGATCAAAATCTTTCACTTTTCTAATGTTGACACTAATACCACTCAGCGATGACATGAGCATATCAGTTCATCTGGTAGCATGTAACTGAAAATCAGTTGATTGATTTTTATTTACTGTTTCATCAACTGGATTAGCATTGTGGAGATATGGCTTTTGATCCACTCTGAGACACTGGAAAACAACATGCAGTTTGGAAACATTCATGGAACAGTGGTGAGAGGGCTGAATTTTGGATTCAGAGGATCTGGGTTTGAATTTCAACTCTTTTACTTACTGGCTCTGTGACCTTGAGCAAGTCATCTTATCTGTCTTGGGGTCACGTTCCTCTCTCCAACACCCTGACCTACATTGAGTACCACATTTTTATTGTTTTTTTTTTATTTTTTTTTATTTTTATTTTTTAGCATTTGGAGGCCAACCAGAATGCTACCCTTAAGTACTCAGAAGAAATAAACATAGGACAATTTGCTTTCTCGGTATCTATTTTCCCTCCCTCTACGTTACAGACTGAAAATCCATATGGCTTTCCCATAACATTTTCCACACATTAAAAAAGTCAATGTAGATACACCTAGTAGAATTGTGTAAATGCTATTGGATTCTTGAAATATCTTGAGACAAGTGTGATAAAAAAAATAAACTCCCTCATTTCATTTCCAAATCTCATTAGTATTCACAGCAGGAACGATTATCCAAAATGGCCCCCCATTTTCTCAACTTTAATTCATTCTAATGTTGTTGGTATTTCCCAAATGTTTCCACCACCGTGACTCCATTCCATTATTTTTGCGTTAAGCAGACCTGAGTGTGAATCGGCAGCACATTTGTGAAGCTAATTTGAACCCATCTGCAGGTTTTTCATGTAATAATAGGATTGTTGGCATTGAAGGATAATTTAAGCAAGGCATATCTGTAAAGCGCACTCTGGCTGGAAAATGAAAAGGGTATTTTAAGCCCATAAACAAAAAAATGGTTCCATAAGGACTTTCAATATGAGTTCATCACTCATGAAAAATGGATGAAAGGTTTAAAACAAGCTCATAAATAGAATTCTAAGCATGCTGATATATAGATAAGTCTATATCTTTAAAATTGTGCATCCGCACCTAAATCCATGTTGAATAATATTTATTTCTCTATGGCATGAAGTTGATATTTCCAAGGAAAATGCTTTTTATTTAAGTGAGGGTATAATTGCAATTTTTGGATGACTATATAAAGGCAGTTTATTGGGAAAAAAAAGTCTAGAACTCTCACTTAAAATCCTCATTTTTATGTGGACAGAACAGAAAATGGGTTACTTAGGTGATTCTATGCTAATCTAACCAATGGAAATTTATTTCATTCTTTTAATCTTTATACTGATAGAGAAATGTTGTTGACTGAGATATTTTGAAATTTTAGCTGACCTGGGACCTGATCTATCTTCTATATGTCTCAGTCACATCTGGGACAATGGATTACTTTGAGTTCAAGGATTCAAATAAACAATCCATTCAACAACAACAAAAAAGATATAAAAATACCCTCAGGTAAAACTAGTTCCTGAAGTTGGTAAAAAAAAAAAAACAACAAACAAACCAGTTCAGGAAGATAAAAGCAGATTAAAGCCTCTGGCAAGGAGGTTAAAAGAAGTCAGTAAGAAGGTTTCCTGGGGTCTCAGGAGATCCTTTCCAAGAGTCCTAAAAACCACTTTTATGTTTTTCTTGCCCAAGAGGCCCACAGTCAGTTTCTAGATTAAATTACTTGGGGGCAAAGTTAACCCCAATTTCCACATGTCTGAACCATGGTTTCCTTGCCCATGAAAGTCCCACTGGTTCTGGGAGAATATTTGTGGAGGGGAGGGTTTTTGAATGCATATCTCCCCATTTTACCCGTGTTCTAGCCCCTAATACTATAGCATCATAGAATCATCAATTTAGAACTGTGGAGGGACCCCAGAGATCATATAGTTCAATGACTTTATTTTACAGATGAAGAAATTAAATGCTAGGGAAGGTAAGTGGTCTGCTCATAGTCATATAGGTAGTAGAATCAGAGGCAGGATTTGAATCTAAGTCCTTTGACTCCAACCTTGTTTCTCCTCTCCTACCATGGTATAATCACTTTCAGATGATGTTCAGTCATGTTGTGACCCCATTTGGGATTTTCTTGGCAGAGATACTGGAGTGGTTTGCCATTCCTTTTCCCAGCCCATTTTACAGATGAGAAAACTGAGGCAAACATGGTTAAGTGACTTGCCCAGGGTCATACAGCTAGGAAGTGTCTGAGGCCAGATTTGAATTATAGAAGATGAGTCTTCCTGACTTCAGTCCCAGTGCTCCATCCACTGTGGCACCTGGTCACCCCTACAATGACTTAGGTGGGACAAAATCTTTCTGGTATTTGAAGTGTTATCATTAACCACTAACATTATTTCTATTACCCACTGAAGCATTTCTATGCGTTTCCCACTCATTTTAGGAGGAGCCAACTTGGTATCTTGTGGAGGATCTGGTTATGTCAGGTTCTGGAATATATTTAAGAAGCAGCTTGTGGCCCAGTTTGTGGCCCACAGTGGAGCTGGACCCATTATCATGACCATTGACAAGACAAATCAGCACCTTGTCACAGGAGATCCCAATGGCTGCCTGAAAATATGGAACATAGAAGTATGTGTTATCTCTCATGACTTCCTCTTCATTTGCCCTGATTGTCTTTTGTTGTTCATGATTGTGAATCAGGCCCTATCTTTTTCCTTTACAGGAAAAGAAATGAACAACCTGATTAGATAAGGAAGATCATTCACTGTAACTGAGTTCAGATAATGATTTTTCTGAATTTAAAAATAAATTCTACCACAGAATTTCCAAGTTGGGAAGGCTCTCATAGGTCACCTAGTCCAATGCATAACTGATTAAAAATCCCCACCATAATCCATCATAACAGTGGTCATCCAGGTTTTTCTTAAAGGACTTTGGCATAGGGCACCCCACTACCTCCTAAGGTTGTCCATTCCACTTTTAATAACAGCATTTGCATAGTGCTTTAAGGTTTGCAAAGGGCTTTATAAATATTATCTTATTTTATCTTCATAACAACTGGGGGAGGGTAGGTGTGTTTACCCCCATTTTACAGATAAAGACACTGAAACAAGCTATAGTTAAGTAACTTGCCCAGGGTTACATGACTAGTATTTTAGTCTTGATCTGACCTCTGAACTTCTTGGCTTCAGATCTACCATACTACACATTTTGCCGCTTTGCTGCCCTTTGGACAGCTCTGATTGTTAGGAAGTTTTTCCTTACATTTAGCTTGACTTTTCCTCTTGGCAATGGACCCCCATCGTTCTTGATTCTATCCTCTAGACCCAAGTAGAATAGTTTAGTCCTTCTTCCATGCGATGGCCCTTCAAATAATTGATGATGGCTTTCATGTCTCCCCTAAGACCTCTTTTCTAAAAACTAAATAACCAATCATCACAAGTCTGACTGCAAGTCCCTTCTTTCTCTTGGTCTCCTCATCCTTTGGATGGTCTCCAGTGGATCAAAGTCCTTCCTAAAATGTGAAACCAAGGACTAAACACAATACTCCAGATATAGTCTGACCAGGGCAGAGTATGGAAGGATTGTCATCTCTTTATTCTAAGGTTTCTTAATTTCTTTAAGTTTCTTAATTCAGCCTAATATTACACACATTTTCTTGGCTTCCCTATGACACTGATGACTCATATTGACTTGCAGAACACTTTTGCTGCCAGCTCTTATGTATACAAACTTCTCTCTAGCCACACCTGCCCCATCTAATGAAGCTGATTTTCTGAACCCATGTATAATACTCTATATTTATCCTTCTTAAATTTCATCAAATTAATTTTGTCCCAAGACCTTTATGAATCCTGCATCTGACATCTATCTTTGTACCTTCAGGAAATTTTTAAAAATTTACTACCTATGCCTTTGTCCAAATCAGTGATAAAAATGATAAACAGCACAGATAGTTATGGCCTTCTTTTAAATTGATATTGAGTCATTAATGGCTCCTTTGCAGATATGAACTTTCAACAAGTTTTGAATTAACATAAATGTAAGCCCACATATTTCCCAGGTCCACAAGAATAGCATGGGAGACCTTATCAAATCCTTTCCGAAAGTCATGGTAAAACTAATTGATAGCATTCCTTTAATCTACCAGTTTATAAAGCTTGCCAAAAAGGGATCTTAGGATATTTGGCCATGACCTTTTTTGGAGGAAGCCAAGTGGTTCTTTGTGGTGCCTGCTTCCTTTTCTAGATGTTCATTCATCATTTAGACAGTAAAATGTCTAACGTACAACAGTCATGAATTGATATTCTTCTCCAATGCCGTAGTGTGCTGTAGAAATGATGCTGCATTCTTGAAGGCCATATTAGTGGGCCCCAAGCTCTATCATGTCCTGCCAACATCAAAAAACTTTGAGTATGGATGTGGATATGTATTGCAAGTTTGTTACTGAAGGTGCAGTCTTGCTGAGTTCAGAAGCTTTCATCACTGGGTTGGCCAGAGAAAGAGGCATTGTTTTTGGCCATAGAAACTCTCAAAGACCATCTGTAGAGGTAGAGGAGAATCTATGAACTTTGATATATGAAGTTCTGACAATAGCAAATGTAATCTTTCTCTTTGCTGAAAATTATTGTTAGACCCAATGTTAGGTTATACAGTTTTCTGTATGTTGTCCACTCTCTTAGATACATTTGTAATTGGCATGCCTGGTGGGTTTCTTTGAATGGTAGTACCACAATACATTTCAACTAAACAAAAATTATAACAACAACTAATGCACACTGGCAGTATTGTCACACACCCATCTTCAAGTACCTTGTATGTTTCATTTGAAAGACCAAAATGATATGTGAAGAGTGGAAGAACAGATGCATCTAAAAATTCTGATGTTCATTTACCTTCCTTTGACCTTGTTGTAAGATAACTCTCTCCTACTCTGCCCTGCCACCGTTTAATGATCATCAGGTACAAATCATTTTGGCAGTGGGAGTTAGTGATGTAATGACAATTCCAATCTTGGAAGTTTAGCTCTACTTTACATTTTCCCCAATGTTGTATAGTCAACAATGATGAGCCAGGAAATAGCATATTTTTCTTGGTTTCATCCATTCCAAGTGCAATTTGAAATAAATTACACCAAAATTTTCAAGGCTGTCTGCTCATCTTCATCTTCCCCAATATTTTTCATTAGTTGGCCAGCAAGCCCTTTATAACTTTTTCCCAAGCACTGATCTGATTCTTCCTAATTTGAACTGTGATCACTACCTTTTCTAGCTTCAACTCTTAGATTCTCTGTCACTCTGTGTCTCACTTTGTCTCTGCCTCTCTCTTTTTCTTTCTCTCTCTGTCTTTGTCTCTTTTGTTCTGTCTGACTCCATCTCTATGTCTCTGTCTCTCTCTGTTTCAGTCTCTGTCTTTCTCTTACCTTTGCTCTCTGTCTCTGCCTCTTTTGTTCTGTCTCAGTGTCTTTCTCTCTCTCTCTCTCCTCTCTCTCTGCCTCTGTCTGTCTATTTATCTCTCTCTGTTCCTCCAACCTGGCTATGGCCAATTCAGTCTTCAGATAGTCACATACTAGTCTTATATGTTGTACCACATCAATAAGTATGAGAACAAGAATAACTTAGCAAGATCAACAAATCGGACAAATAATTGTTTTCACTGTTAGGATTTTTTCTTTCTGTTGCTAAAAAGTTGTCAAGCCACACCAAGTCATCTGACAAGTTTTATGCATAAATATGGCCTTATTTAACTCTCCATCTTGTTCATTAAATTTTCCTTTTCATTAATGTATTATTTCTACATCATATTTTTAAAAGTGAAAAAATTATCTTTTATTCTAGAAACAATAGGGAGTCATCAAAGATTTGTGAATTATTGGGTGACATGATTCCATCTGCTTTGATATTCCTAAAAGTTATAACTGGCTACTTCAACACCTCCCCCCAACTCAAAAACTTCCTTGACACTTCATTGTCTCTGGGTTAAAATAAAAAAAAAACCCCTAGCATTTAAATTCCTCCACAATCTTGTTTTCAGCTGCTTTCCCAGTCATATTTCACTTCAGTCGTTATCATGCCCTTTCTCCGTTCCAATCAAATTAGCCTGGCAGCTCTCTCCCATGTATATAACTCTCCATAGTCTTTCTCTCTGCCTTTGCTCACTCCCCATGCCTAGAATGGCATTCCTTTTGCATCTCTACCTGACACAACCCCCATCTTCCTCCAACGCATACAGCATGTGTTGCAACATACCCAAGGCCTTTCTTGAGTCTCCTAGATAGTAGCAGTCATTCTCTCTTGAAATTACTTTGATCACTTTGTATACATTGCATACTTACTCACTGGTGCACAAGTTATATGGCTCCTGCCACTGGAATATAAGCTCCCTGAGGAAGGGGTTATTTTTTCCTCAAATATTTGTTCAATTAAACGTAATTGTTTTTATTGGTGATTTTCTCTAAAAGCTGATGGTTTTGGGTGTGTTTTCCCATTTCATTCAGGAATATTGCCTCAATTTCAATGAGAGCCAAGTTTTGCAGCCTCCGCCTCTGATAAGATCATTTCAACCTCATGAGGACCAAATCAGTTCTCTGGAGACTTGTGCACACGGCAGCCGAGTACTGATCATTGCCTCTTCTGCAGATGGCAGCGTTTCTGTCAGTGATGTCTGGGGCTCTCTGATTGGAATATTTGGTCAGGTAGAAATATTGCTCCATGATTGTCACAGGAGGGGAAGTGAGTGGGGAATTTAAAACTGTCAGGAGGGATGATTTCCCTTTGAATCTCCCAGTCTGCTAATGTTCATTAGTCAAGAAAGAACTGAATTCTATTTCTGAAGATGCAGTATCAGGAATCACTTGCATCCTGAATACACTTTGCTCTGACTGTTAAATTAATCTGTGGTAGAGGGTGTTGGGAATCATAAAATGTAATGCCTTCTCTGCTTAGGCTATGATATATCTGCTCTGTATGTATCATGTGTGTGTGTGTGTGCGCATGTGTGCTCACATGTATATGTGTCAAGTTGTCTGCCCAATTAAAATGTAAGCTACTTGAGGACTTTTACTTTTTATCCTCAGTGCTTAGCATGGTGCCAGGCACATAATAAAAGCTTAATAATACTTATTGATTGATTGAGTTCAATACTTAGTGACTTATAACCTTGGGAATGTGGCACTTGGCCTAGCTCTGCCACTTAGGAGGTATGGCAACTTTACGCAAATAATTTTTTTTCTCCTAGCCTCAGTTTCCTTCTCTCTCTCTCTCTCTCTCTCTCTCTCTCTCTCTCTCTCTCTC